TGGCTGCTTTTCTTATTTTGACTCTACCAAAAAAAGAAAAATAAGCTTATCACTTTTTAATTTGACTGCAAGAATCGAATGATCATGATTGGCTGAAATCAATGGACTGATCGATTGATTCATTCATTGATTTGTTGATTGGCTTAACATACAGATGGGTTCTCACAATCTGTCTGTCCAGTACTCTATGTTTGTGTACAGTCAGCGGGCTGTACCATATCTGTCAGATTGAGGAGGGGGGGGCGGGCGGGGATTGAGGGTTGAGGGCAGGGTCCGGTGAGAGGCCATGTTTTGAAGCAGCAGGGGTTCAGAGCGAAGGTGACGGGAGAAAGGGGTGAGGGGTGGGGAGGTCAGGAGACTGGGGGGCTAGTGTCAGGAGAGAGGAGAGCTGGGAAATGCAATGGCGGTCCAACTAATGGTCGCCACTGAAGTGTAGAGTCCTACTCACTTGTTCTACTCACAGGGAACACCATGGAACTCAATTCAGATATGCTTCCTTTTTCAGGTCTAACTAATGGCAAACCACGACAATCTCACAGCCCCAGGGGGGCTACAGGAACACACTCAACAAAACACGCCAACCAACCTACTAAATGGGATCCTGGACGGCCTCATATCTGGGGCAGACAGTGCTTTTCAAGCAAAAGCCAGCATGAGCTGCTACATATAGCTGCAGAAAGAGTGTGCCAAAACAAACATCAACCCGTCCTCTGATGTAGTGTCCTCCTGCACATCTGACCATCAGGTATTTATGTAACCGCCTTATAGTATTTCATGAAGAAGTGCTCTCTCTCTCTCTCTCTCTCTCACTCACACACACACGCACATAAGATGTTCAGGCAGGGTGGCGAGCACTGGGCAAAGTGCCAGTGAACGCTGGACAGGAGAGCGCTAGAAAGATATAAGGAGTTAAACACGAGAGGAACGGTGACGGCACACATAGACATATTAAAGTGTCCCCCCTCTGTCTATAAATGTCGGCTGAGGCTGAAGGACTGCATGAAATATCCCTCAGTTTGGTAAAAACGGGCACACTAAGTATAGGCCAGGCTCACCAATGGACCAGAAACATGGCCAAAAGTGTGAGAGCTACAGATAAAAGAGGCCCTCTTCTGTGATCAAGGCCTCGTGTGGTGGGTGCAGAGGGAATTTATTTTGATGTATGGTAATCCAAAGGCACAATTTAGACTTTCAGGGTTTGAGGACCAGTGCCAAATGGTGTATCTGACCTCTGGCGGGAAACCGCAATGTTGAATATATGCTGAAATAAAACTTTGGAAAAAAACAATCCATAAAACAGAGAATAATGACAAAGGAAAAGTATAGAAAAGTACATCAGCGTGGACACACAGACCACATTACTTTTCTCTGGTACATACTGGACTCATGTTTTGTTTGCTCCAGATCTGGTTGAGAGAATACAGTGATAAACAACCTTGGCGAGCAAAAACCCCATAAAATAGTAAACGACACAATATTCACACATATAAAACAAATACACTCAAATAAAGATGTGGGTAATTTCACCATGGCCCAAAGAGACGTGGAAATAGATTTTATGAGCTAAGGATATAAAGGCTAACAGAGCAGATTTCTGAAAAGCTTTTTTTTTTAATGCTACACTGGGAAATGTTTTATCACTATTTACCCACAATGCTCATAGGCACCAAGGGCGCAGCTGTGCTTGTGTGGGCACCGATAAGTATAGAAAAAGGTGGGCGCCGGCGCTTATGTTCAGCTAGGCACATCATGTGACACATGTAGGTGGAAGAGCGGATACAATGAGCAGGGTGAGATACATTTTATTTACCGGTAGAAAAATGAAAAAAGGAAGGCTACACACAAACAAAAAACTTGAGATTTTCTTACAACCATTGAGACACACAAGGCTGTAAAAACTTTCTCCCAGGGATCCAGAGAAAAAGGAGAAAGAGTAAAAAAGGGAAAGGTAACTATATGGCATTTATGTATTATATTGACATAGCATTGCAGGTCCTCTATAATCCTAACGGGGTTTGGCCAATCGTTGAGTCAAAAAGGAAATACAAGTGGAGTAGAAGAACAGCTGAACACTGAAACAAAAGTTTCAGGAAGATAAAAAGTATATTGCTGCAGTCAGCACAACATTAGTAGCGTAGACTCGTCATCCATCTGGCACCGATATTTTACTTCCGATGCTGTGTTTGGAATGTTGCTGTAATATATTACAACCAATTGAATTTATTGGACAGAGAGTAAGTACACCTGCTGCTACAGATCCGTTACTTAGAACTGCTGTAATCAACAATGGATCACATGGATACTTGCATGAACAGGCTTACTAGTAGACGCGAACCCACAGAGGATTATCACCTGACTCTGCAGCTCTACAAAGCTTTATAGCTCTGTTTTTTGGTTTTCGAGCCCACAACTTTGCTGTTTTGGTTCACTCTCGCTGCTCTCATCGGCGCTATTTTCAGCCACAGCAGGCAGGCAAAAATGCACTTCCTGTCCAGCACCAGCGATTATAGCTGGTGAACACAGAGGAGCATTTAACAGCTAATATTGGATTTACACCCATCAATTAGTTAAAAATTTGACACAAAATAATGCTAATGTATGTATCTGCCAGATGTGTAAGCAAATGTAAGCCATAGCCACATGAAAGGGGTTAATATATTTACTTAATAAGAAAAAAGGACTCATTATTTTGAAAAGCCACTTTCCAGTATTATATTATACATTATGTATTGTATTGTATTATTGCATAATAATTGTAATTACCTACTGCAGCTTTAAGTGTTATTAATTCACAGTATGTACTATATTGTTATTTGTATGTAAAACTTTAATCTGCAAAGTAACTACAGCTGTCAGATAAATGTAATGGAATAAAAGAAGTACAGTATCTCCATCAAGTAAAGTGCAAGTACCTCAAAACTGTANNAAACTTTAATCTGCAAAGTAACTATAGCAGTCAGATATGGTATGAAAGTACAACATTTACTTTGTAAGTGTAAAAGTGGAAGTATAAAGTAGCATTAAATTAAAATACTCAACAACTAATAGGTTAGCCATCTAATGAACACAGCGCTATATTAGAGTCAGGGTAAAATGTATCTTTAACTGGCACTTTAAATTCACACTGCGAGCACAGACACCATGTTGTGGATTCAATGCATCCCTGCAATAAAGCCTGTCCAGTTCCCCTGTGGTATGTATGGAGATGACTGCGTGCCACCACAGCACAAGTTCAATTACAACCAGCTTATTATGTATAAACAGCCTTAAATTATACATATTGTTTTTAGTCTCTGTGATATTCCCTAATTAGTCGGTATCTTGCTGAAATATCTGCTATGACGAGGCTTCTCGGTGAGGAGCAGCAAATGAGGCCCAGATGCCCAATGAAAGCTTTGTCTGATAAAGCTAACAGAAGTTACTCTGATCTCTCCCTTAATCTGTGTGTGTGTGTGTG